GGAGATAGAGAGATAGATGTAGAGAGAGAGAGAGAGAGAGGGAGCCACTGAAATCCTAAAGGCTAGGAGAAACAGGAAGGGTCAGAAAGAGACACAGATAAATGGAAAACTGAAAAGATAGCCTAAGCCGGGCGTTGGTGGCGCACGCCTTTAATTCCAGCACTCGGGAGGCAGAGGCAGGTGCCTGGTCTACAAGAGCTAGTTCTAGGACAGCCTCCAAAGCCACAGAGAAACCCTGTCTCTGAAAAACCAGAGAGAGAGAGAGAGAGAGAGAGAGAGAGAGAGAGAGAGAGAGAGAGAGTAAAGATAGCCTAAGACAGGGAAAAAGTCTTTCATAGAAGAAGGCAGAGCCAAGGACTTCCTGGGGAGCCCAAATGGGAAATGCCACTATTCCCACCCCAGCCTCTGACCCAGCACCCCTCACCAGTATGGTGTCCCAATGAAGGAGAGGCGCCTGGCCAGTGTCGCTCCAATCTGGGCTGAGATCCCAAAGTCAGCTGGAGGCCGAGACAGAAATTGTAAGTGGCAACCCCATCCCCTCCTCAACCTCCAGGTAACCCCGTGTACCCTGCTTTGAGCCACACTCACCCAGCTTAACCTCCCCAGAGTCATTGATGAGGATGTTGGCTCCCTGGGGACCAGAGGAGGGGTTAGAAGCTGTAAGAGAAGGCCCTTCCCCAGGGCTCCCTTGCTCCCACCGGATTGACTCCACCTGAAAGCTCAGACTATCATGAGCCCTAGGTGCCCCTTCCACCCCCTCTCAGTGGCCCTTGTCCCCAGTCTACCTTGATGTCTCGGTGTATCTTCTTTTGTGAGTGCAAGTAGGCCAGACCCTGGGGAGACATGGAACAATGGGCTGGCAGACCCCTTTGGCCGGTACAGGGCCCTGCTCACTTTGGGAGCCCCCCGGCCCCATCTCACCTGGAGCACTTCCCGGCACACACAGCTGATCTGGAGCTCAGACAGAGAGCCAGTCACTGCAAAAATCATCCCAGGTGTTGGGAGAGGAAACAGGAACCTTGGCTTTCTGGGTTCCCTAGCTTCCCTCCACCCATGCCATTGGACAGGATACACAAAGAGGAGGGACCCTAGATGCGACAACTGGAAAGGAGAGCTGAAGGGTGGCAGCTGACTGGGAGGTGAGGAGCCACACATGGTTACTCTTGCCTGTAATCCTATGATTTAGAAGGCTGGGGCAGGAGGATTGCCCTGAGTTTGAGGTTAGCCTGGGCTATATACAAATCTGGAGGCCAGTTAGGGCTGCATAGAGAGACTTGTTTCCCAAACAACCATGAGCATGTGCACATGGAGGGGGAGAGATAGACAGATAAATGATGTTGCTATACAGTCCAAAGGAAGACAGCCATTCAGCAATAATGACAACAGTCCTACTCTGTGCCAGGGCCTGGAGACACAGCTACAAGCAAGACAGTCATTCCAAAAAGCTGGGGGCATGGCATAGGAGGAAAGCACTTGCCTGGAATCCCCCAGTGAAGACTTGGGGGTGTGGCTCAGAGATAGAGCCCCTTTCTAGAACTCACCAATGAGAGGCTGGGGTGTGGCTCAGTGGTAGAGCCCCTGCCTAGAGTCCCCCCAGTGAGGGGGTGGGGGCGTGGCTCAGCGGTAGAGCCCCTGCCTAGAATCCCCCAGGGGGGGGGGGGGGGCGTGGCTCAGCGGTAGAGCCCCTGCCTAGAATCCCCCAGGGGGGGGGGGGGGGCGTGGCTCAGCGGTAGAGCCCCTGCCTAGAATCCCCCAGGGGGGGGGGGGGGGCGTGGCTCAGCGGTAGAGCCCCTGCCTAGAATCCCCCAGGGGGGGGGGGGGGGCGTGGCTCAGCGGTAGAGCCCCTGCCTAGAATCCCCCAGTGAGGGGCTGGGGGCGTGGCTCAGCAATAAAGTCCTTTCCTATTATATGAAAACTCCTGGGTTCCGTCACTAGCATGTGCCCACACAAACACCACACAAAGATAAAATCCCTGCTCTCATGGAGAGAACACTCCAAGAGAAATAAAATATAGATGTTAATTATGGCTGGAGGGACATCTCAGTGCTGGAGCTCTTGTCTGCTATTTCAAAAACTAATAAATAATAATTGTGGTGATATTTTGTTTCTGTTCTAGCAAATAAAGCTTGCCTGAAGTTCAGAGTACAGAGCTAGCCTCATTAGTTAGCCACAGAGGTCAGACAGTGGTGGTATACACCTTTAAAGGATCTCTGTTAGTTCAAGGCCACCCTGGGATACACGAAATTGATCTAGTCTAAAAGAGAAACAGAGCCAAGCAGTGGTGGCTCGAACCTTTAATCTCAGTATTTGGGAGTCACACGCCTTTAATCCCAGCACTACAGAGCTGGACACAGGAAGGGATATGGCGGGGCAGAGAGAGGAATGTAAGTTGGGAGGAGACAGGAGCTCATTGCAGTCAGTCTGAGGAGGCAGTCTGAGGACAGCGTTGCCCCTTTGGTGTGAGCATTGGTACAGGTGAGAACTCTCTGGTGGCTGGCCGCTCTGCTTCTCTCATCCTTCAGCTTTCACCCCCTGATAGCTGACTCCCAGTTTTTATTATTAAGACCAACTAGAATTCATGCTACAAATAATAAAGAAGACTAAGGAAAGGCATATCATGTAAGATGTTAATATGCTAATAATTAGTAAGAAAAAACAGAACCAGAAACAACAACAGGAAATACGTGTGGGAAGGGCTATGACATTTTAGTCATGCTGGTCCACAAGGCTAACCTACGAAGCAGGAAAAAAAAGAGCAAGGGCAGGGGGCAATGGCCAGGATGACAGAAGTGAGCAGCTTCACCCCTGAGGACAATGGGCTTCCTGGGAGTTTATGAATGGGGTGATGTGGGGGCAGGCAAGATGAGCAATGGCAGCAATACAGACAGACAGACAGACAGACAGACCCAGGGTAGGAGCACTGAGAGAGATGAACAGGCACCAAATGGGGGGAGATAGACATATTTTGGAAAAGAGACAATCAGGGTTGGGAAAGGAACAAGAGAAAGAAAGAAATGACAGAGGGTGACAGGCAGAAAGCAGGTCTTGCACAATGGCTGGGTGAGTCTCTCCTATCTATGGGCCTCAGTTTCCCATTCTGGGGTAGATTTTTGTATTGCCCAGATAAAACCTGAGACCTTGATCCTGCCAGGCAAGCATTCTACCATTGAGCTATAGCTGGGCCTCTGGGGTGTTTAGTAACTTTTGAGGTCATGGGCTAAAGAGAGTTAGAGAGATAATAAGATAGAGATGGACACCAGAACTTCATAGAGAGCTGAGGTGTAGGGCCTGGTTGCACAGACAGTAGTCCTAGCTCCTCATGAGGCTGAGGCAGTCAGATAGAAAGCCCAAGGCCAGGCTAGGCAACTCACTGAAACTCTGTCTCAAAATAATAAGTAAGAAGAATGTTGGAATGTTTAGAAGTTGAAGGGGTGTGATAAAAATACACTTGTACGGAGGCAGGCAGATCTCTGTGAGTTCGAGGCCAGCCTGATCTTCAAAGAGTTCCAGGACAGTCTTCAAACCTACAGAGAAACCCTGTCTCGAAAAACCAAAAATAATAAAAAGATAAAAATACACGATATACCTATATGAAATTCGAAAAGAAGAGATAAATTAATTTTAAAAAAGAGCATTGGGGATAAAGTTCAAAGCGCTTGTCTAGCAAACATAAAACTCTAGGTTCAAAACACATCATGAAAAAAAATGTGTGTGTGTGTGTGTGTGTGTGTGTGAGAGAGAGAGAGAGAGAGAGAGAGAGAGAGAGAGAGATTCAGAGGGGATGAGAGGCCTATCCAACTCTTACCCTCAAATTTCCCTGAAAAGCAAACTGCAGGCTAGACCCAGAAATTCAATGACTGATTGCCCAAATTCTGAGCAACTAATCTGAGTTAGAAAATGCAGAAATAGGCCAGGTGTGGTAGCTTGGGAGGCAGAAGTAGGCAGAACTCTGTGAGTGGGCGGCCAGCCTGATCTACATGTTGAGGTCTAGGAAGCCAGTACTACATAGTGAAACCCCGTCTCCAAAATAATAATAATAATAGTAACGATGATTAAATACATAAATAAATAAAAGAAAGAAAATGCAGAAATCCCTAACCTAAGAATATGTTTTGGCAAGAAAATATACTCAGACAAAGATAGAGACATGGGAGCAGAAGGGATTATTGCCTGGGGAAGGACAGGCAGGACCCACAGGTTCTGGAAGCCTGGGTTGTCACAGGATCCCCAGCATCATCCCAGCTGGGCCCAGGGGACCAGGCTCGCTCATGTAGACCAAGGAGGCAGTTCCCAGGATACAAGCAGAGAGAGGTAGATTGGCGGTTACGGGGGACCTGGGTCTCTTGTCCTTCCTCTAACCTTGGTAGATGTCCTGGAGAGAACCAGCCCCACAGAATTCCATGCAGATCCAGAGCTTCTGTAGCCTACAGGGTCAAGAGAGTAGGCATAGCAGTGATAGCGACTATACTTTGTCAGCAGTCTCTAGAAGGGGTTGCTGGGGCTTTGAGGCTATCTTACTCCCTCTGCCCACCAGAGTGTCCCATCCCCACAAGAGAGGAGGATGAGGATGAGCCAGGAAATGCATGCCCTGGAGCAATTTGACTACAACTTAGGTCTTTGGGTTCCAACCCCAGGGCAGGGCTCTGCCATCTCAGGCTGATTTAGGGGACAGGGCAGAGAGCTCACAGAGAAACAGACAGGACAAAGAGGTCTAGAGTGCAAGTTTGAGGAATTGATGTCATCAGTGGGGTGGCTGAGACATTATCTTGGGGGCCAAAGAATTTGGGGTTCATGTTAAGGAAGCAGGGTGAAATGGAGGATGCAGGGGGCTGATTGACATTTGATTAGTCTTTAGATTGGGGGTACTCAGTAAGAAAGGTGGAATTTCAGGTTGGGAATCAGACTGGGATGCCCCGCTTAAAAGTGAGGAAGTCAAATTAGGCTATCTGGATCACAAATGGTAGTTTAGGACCAGGGACCTGGTTAGGGATGCCTGGTCAGAAGGAAGAGGCTGGGGTTGGGGGATGGGCTAAGACATCACCAGAGGTAACTGCCATGGTAAGCCACGATGTTGGCATGCCGGCAAGTTTTCAGCATGAGAATCTCCTTCTGGAGGGTGGAGACATCGTCGTCTGGGGAGAAAAGGTGGCTATGAGCAGTGTGGCTCATGGACGTGATCCCTGCCCTAAGAAGTTAAGGGTAGGGGTACGGAAGGAGTTGCTGGGGGCTTTCTCACCAGGCTCCATCTTCACCATCTTCAAAGCCACCAGGTCCTTAGACACCTTGTCACGAGCCTTGTAAAGGGGAAGTTGACCTTAAGGCAGGCTCCATAGCTTGCCACCCTCAGCATCTCTGAGCCAAACCCAAGGCCCGGCTTCCTCTTGCACTGCCGTTTGTCGATCTCACCCCAACCATCCCAGGTTTGACAATGAAGGAGGCAGAGGGGCTCTCTCACCTTGAAGACTTCTCCATAAGTTCCACCGCCCAGTCGCTGCAATAGGTCATAGTGTTCTCGGGGGTCCTTATTAAAGATGTCGGGGTCAACAAGGGCCATCCCTGGAGCCCGGGGCTGGGCCGGTGCCCAGGGGCCAGCAGGGCCTCAGGGCTCTGGTTTTGGTTTCTCCCTCTGTCTCCACAAGTCCTGGGCCCGCCTTGAACTCTGCGGGCTGTGGCCTTCCCCCTCCCCACTCTCGCTTCCTGCCCCAGCTGCGAGGCTGTGCAGAGGGCTCCACCCCTGTCCCTAGGGTTCTGAAAGCCTGATTGCCTTGGGACTGGTGGGACTCCCCTTTGCCCCCTCAAGTGCACTATGTAAATAAGATGCAAAAGACCTTAATTGCAACCTGGGGCTGACCTAGCACCCTCTTCCCAGCTCTCCTGTTCTGGGAGGAGTCAGTCACACGATGAACCTCTGCTAGGCACTTGAAGACTTGGAGCCAAGCCAGAGGCTGCAGGTCTGCACACCGAGCTACCTAAGCGCCACACAGGCCTGTTTTCCTCAGGCCACTCAGGTGACAGCTCCTGCAC